CCCCAAAACCCCAAAACCCCAAAACCCCAAAACCCCAAAACCCCAAATCTAAAGATCGGGTTTGAACTAATTATTATAAATAAATATGACCAAAGTTTTCAAATTCATTGCTCTCCTGGCTTTTTTAGCGTTTGTAGAAGCTGAGATAAGTCCTCAGCTGGAATCATTTAGATCACCTCCAAACTTGAGAATAGAGCACAATTTGGTCAAATATGATCGGCATATGAAGTATGTTGTTCCTGCTGCCAGATCTGTTGGATTTTTGTATAACGGCCTCCAAGAATACAACATTTCGTTCACTGAAATGCTTAATTTCTTGAATGATTTGGTGTCACTAATCCTGGGTATCTTTCATTGTGAAAGTCTGAACTGATTAACTCCTGAATATCTATTGACCAAACTTTTTGAGGAATTCAGACTTTTTTCGAGAAGTTGGATAACTGAGTTAGACTATTGGTACAAAGAGTTTATAGCGAAGTATGCAAAGAAAGAGCTTGGAGTTATTAACAAGATCATTGCTACTGAAGGATTAGCCATTTATATAGAGAAGTCAGACTGTATTCGCATGAGAATTGGACAGTACTTCATGCCTACTTTTGTAGGCAACGATACCTCAAATTGCTCAGAGTATGATCAGATCATCCACAGTTTCTCTGAACAGCCTGTGGATCCAGGCATCGATTGGACATCTCTCTGCGTTAAACTCACCATCACTCTAGCTCTTGCTGTCATGAATTACCTCTGTTTAGAACTAGTCCTCCAAGAATGGAAGAAAACCCAAGAACTATATCAGCCACAGTCTAATGGAATACCTCTGTCTCAAATTGAAAATGACGATTTTTCAGGTGAAAGCTTCCCAAATTCACAGCAATCTCTAGAAGAAAGCAAAGAAGTCACTGACTCAGTCTCAAGTGAAGAGAGGAGGGGGCATTCCCGCATTCTTGATAATCAAATCGCACAGGGTCTTCCAATAAATGCGGGGTTTTCTTCCTCCCATAATAGTTTCTAACAGTCATTTGGAAGCTCTAAATTAATTAGGCAATTTTTTGTTTGTGCTTCAATTTTGGATTGATGGTGTGGGGTTTTGGGGTTTTGGGGTTTTGGGG